AAAAAAAATACAATAAAAATATATTTAGATAGGTGGACTTGTGATCTTGAATTCTTGTGAAGGAATCGATTTAATTCGAGTTACGGTTTGGAAGATAGAAAAATCCAAAATAAATAGGTTGATATAGAATTTGACCGAAATCTGAAAAATAGCAGAGATGAGAGGAAGAAGAAGAACGGAGGGGGAAGCGTGTCAGGAAGGGAGAGGGCCGCGAGTTGCTAGGAAAATGGGACACGTGTGAGACGTGGAATTGCGGAGGAAAATTATGAAAAATACTGCGTTAGATAGGGTTTGAAGATCGGCGCCCGCCACCAGATCCGTGAACCCGCGTGTGACCCGAACTCGTCAGCCGACCCGTTCCGTATTTGCCATGCGTTAGTGTGGGAAAATTCATAGGAACCCACATTCGAACGCACGCCTTACCTCTCAGTGGACCAATCGGCTCTCGCCACGTGGCGACACACTAGTGCGCGCTCCATGCCCTCAGTGCATCTGAACGTGCGCGTCTGTGCACATGGGGATTCCCTCTGGCACGTGGGGCGCGTGAAACAGCCTGTGAGACTATTTTTATCCCGATTTGACTTCCGTTCGACTATTTTTCATCTCGGTTTTGATACTGATCTAAGTCTAACTTGATTTAGGACCTATCCGCGAACTTTCAAGAGATTTGGAGCTCTTAATTAGCCAAAAAATAAGCTTCAAAATGCACGTCCTGTAAGTAACCATACGGATTTAGGAAGTAATACTTGTAGGATGCGCTTGGTTTTGCATGAATGCTAGAACAAATTATCCCTCGGTGGTTAGATCTAATGATCCTCTATACTTACAAAGTCTAATATATATATGTTGGACTTGCTGCCTTTATGAGATTTCGTACTCGATGTTTGTATGCTTGTTGGACTATCTTTCTACTGCTTTAATCTATTCATACTATGCTGGTGGACTGGAGGATTTGTGTATCTACACTCTGGGTGTTGATGGATGATATTGCCCCATTGAGCTTGTATGGTTGTATGTGTAGTTAATCATACATAAACTCCTTTTGAATGATTGTGTGAACTTATGATATGATTGATAAGCTATAGTGTTGTGATATGCCTAGAGTAAACTCTTGTAAGGATTGCACTTAAGATATGATTGATAAGTTGTAGTGTTGTGATATGCCTAGGGTGAACTCCTGTAGGGATTGAGTTGGGTTTAGTTAGGGGACCCTCTTGATGTTACAGTCTATGGTGTCGTGAGCGACGCTTAGAGGGAAAGACCCTTTAACCCTGGACTGTTATGGACTTTGAAGTCATGATTGAGTGAATCTGGAAGCCAGGGCCCCTTACTCAATAGTTTTCACTACCCTTGAGATATAGGGAACCACATTAGGCCCTCGAAGTGTAGAGAGATGACCTCTTAGCTGACAGTATCTGGTATAACGTTCGAGTATGCTCCGCTTTCTTTCCTACTCCAATGTGGAACCGTTGAGCTAGGCGAGATGCCAGTTAGGATGATGTTACTCTTCTCTTCCTACTTCGGTGTGGTACCGTTGAGCTAGGTGAGACGCCAATTATTGAGGTGTTACTCTTCCCTTCCTACTCCATTGTGGTACTATTGAGCTTGGCGAGACGCCTGTTAGGGAAGTGTTACTCAGTGGTAGATCGACTACACTGCATGGGGATCCGTCTCAAGGTCAGATGTTGATCACGTGAGTGGGTCAAGGTCGCCTGCATGATGGGTCTGTCCTGTGGAAGGATATTGACCATGCAATGACTAATTCTAACTGGGTTGTACGAGTGGTACATGTAGTTATGAGGGAGTACCTCATCCTCAAACGTTGAATACCGCTTCAAAGGTTAAGTTCTTCTGCCTTGAATTGTGTACTGAGAGTACTGAGACTCTAGGGTCTAGAGTATAGTTGGTGATTCTCTCCTTAACTTGGATGCGATTAAGAGTCTATAAGAAGTTGCTTACTGAGTATATTTTTATACTCACCCCGTTTCCCTTTCTTTTTTTTTTTCAAGTACCAGTCGAGATGGGGAGTTGTTTGAGAGCTACATTGTCACAAAGGGGTGTCGTTCCGGAGCGTCAGTCCCTTGTCGGTCTTTTAGAGTCTTTTGCATTTTTCTTTCATAATTGTATTTCTCGTTTGTAATATTTAACTTTAATTTTGTATTTAATTCTAGTGTCATCGACTCCTTTTTCTTGATTTAAATTTTATCAGATTTTCATTACCTATTTTATCTTCTTTTCAATTTTATTTGTTTTCAATTTTGTATTTTAGTCACCGATCGGTTTTTCGAAGCCTCGAAAATTGGGTCATGATAGATTGGTATCAGAGTAGTTGGGTTTTTAATTTTGTAGACTTTTCCTAGGATAGAGAGTCGTACACCTCTGTGACTCAGCTCAAGGACAAGCCTCGCCGCGACCAAGTACGCAGTCTAACCTTGTTTAGTGGGTGATGATATGATGTAACGCCACTAAAAACTTGATGTACGTTTTGGGTTAACACATTAGGGTGTTAAAAGTGAAAATTCCCAATATGTTGATGCTAGATTCGAGTTATTGTGAGGAGGCCGAGAGGGGTCATGTTTTTGTTTACTGGCCTTAGGAAGACAGAAAGGTGACAACGCAGAGTGCGTGACGTCCAACCCATAAAACTGTACATGAGACTTTTTAAGGCCCAGTACGAGATGATATACCTATGACCACACCTCCCACAACCATAATTCTAGATGTCAAGCATAACTTCCTTGCAGATTCACAGAGAACGAATTATGACTGCAAGAGGTGACCTTCCTTGGACACGTGGTATCTAGGCAGGGAATAACTGTGGACCTTGCTAAGACCAAAATAGAGCATGAAGATCGCCTGCAAATGGCTTTGACTGTTTTGAGAATGTGTCAACGTTTCTAAGTGTGAATTTTGGCTTTGAGAAGTAGCATTTTTATGACATGTTGTCTCAAGAGGGGAAATTATCATGGATCCAACTAAGGTTGACGCTGTCATGTGGGTGCCAAGGCCGACAACTAGAGGTAAGAGGCTTTTTGGGCTTGATTGGCTACTACATGAGATTTTTCCAAGACTACTCGAAAATGTCGGTTGCGATAACTCAGTTAAAAAAAAAAAAAAAAAAGGAAAATAAAAACCTTGTGTGGACTTGAGATTGTGAAGAGAGCTTCCCAGAGTTTAAAAAGAAGTTGGTGACTGCACCATTCTTTGTAGCGTATAGTGACGCTAAGGGCTTGAGTTGAGTGCTTATGCAGAATGAGAAATTAATTACGTTCCTTTCTCTAGATATTTAAATGAAAATGAGTGGAATTATCCTACTGATGACAAAGAGCTAGCGGTCATGGTGTTCGCACAAAAGTCATGGCAGCATTATCGGTATGGTGAGACTAAGTGTACACTGACCACAAGAACCTTAAATATTTTCTTTTCACCCAAAAGGAGTTGAATATGAGACAAAGGAGGTGGCTCAAGCTAGTGAAAGACTACAATGTTGAGATCCTATATCATCCTAGCAAGGCTAATGTGGTAGCTGATAACTTGAGTAGGAAGACAGCCGACACCTCTGCATTGGTCACTCAACAGAGCAAGCTTTAAGAGGAGATCCAAAGAGCTAAGATTGATTTATTAGTTAAGAACATCACTGCATAACTCGCTTAGTTGACAGTACAGCCAACACTTCGTAAATGCATCATTGATGTAAAGTCTATAGATGCCCAGCTCCACAAAGTTTGTGACACCCAAGAGGCTAAGATATCTCAGGAGTTCTTAATTTCATCTGAATGCAGGCTTTTGTGGCAGGGATACTTGTGTGTACCTAGGGATAAGGAAATCCTTAAGGAGATTATGCCTGAAGCATACGACACGTTCTACACATTTCACCCTAGTAGTACAAAAATGGATCAGGACCTGTATAACAGTTAATGGTGGCTAGGAATGAAAAAAAGACATCAAAGATTTTGTGTGACATTGTCTAACGTCTCAGTGGGTGAAAGCCCCAAGACAACGCCCTACAGGGATCCTACAACCCGTAAACATACCCAGTGGAAGTGAGAGGAAGTGAGTATGAATCTCATATCCGATCTACTTAAGACTCGACGTGGTTTTTTTTTTTTTAAAGGTTTGCAGAAAGCCTCGAGCACCCAACCTCATCTCAATACAGCCATCCATCATCAGACAGATGGACAGATGGAAAGGTTGAATCAAGTATTAGAGGACATGCACAAGGCATGTGTGATGGATTTCGGGGGTTCATGGGATGACCACTGATCCCTCATGGAAGTTGCTCATAGCAACAGTTATCAAGCAAAAACTCATATGGCTCCATTGAGGTCCTATATGGGAAGAAGTGTCGGACACCAGTGTTTTAGGAAGAGGATGGAACCCAATAACTTATGGGACCGAAATTAGTTCAGGTTACCAACGCGACAGTCCAGAAAATTGGATCATGGATACTTACTGCATAGAGCCGGCAAAAGAGTTACGTTGACACTCGAAGAAAGGATCTCGAGTTTGCAGTGGGCGAACATGTTTTCCTTTACGTAACTCCCATGAGAGAGGTGTTAAGGTTCGGGAAAAGGGGTAACGCTTAGCCTGGTTTATAGGTCCGTTCGAAATCCTTGAGAGGATTGGTGCTGTAGCGTACAGGTTGGCGTGACCACCCCCTCTTGCCGCTGTGCATAATGTTTTTCATGTATCTATGTTTTTCATGTATTTAAAACTGAGTTTGTTTGATAATTGTAAATATTTATTTGCCATTTGCGATCTGGTAAATGCCAATTTTCCCTACAGCTTGTCCGTTTGATCCTGCAAAACATGTATAGCGCTCTTCCGCTGAGAAATGCCCTCCTTTTGTCTTCGCCTTGTGGTCCCAAACCGAGACATATGGTTTTGGTACAGAAAAGAAATGTCACCAAGGGGCAGGTAATTTGCACGGCAGTATTATACAGAAATGGCGCAATTCTGTCCCACTCGAAAAAGTGATTAGCCACCACTCGAAAAAGTCGATTCGCCACCACCTCAAAAAGAGGATACGGTACCTGCTAAAGTATTCCCGATACACCACCACTACAAATGGGAGTACTTTTTCTATAAAGCCCTATCCTAAAGCAAGAATCTGTCATTGCGAAGTCAGCTATGATGTAGAGTAACCCGAAGGTCAAGACGAAGCCTCAGACGTCATGTAGCCGACTCCAACGGATTGGTGTGGTATATCACCCGTTTATCTTCGCATTCTCAGCCATGGTATTGACTGCATAAGGCTTCCGGCAAGAATTATAGCGCCTGTTCAATTTGTGTGCAGGTGTCTCAACCATGTGAAGATCCAGTCTCCTGTGTTAATATTAATGCTTGATTCTAAAACAAACAATAAGATAACACCCAAGCTACAAGTCAGGAACGAAGTGCTCGACCGGAAGGGAGAGGGTTGAAGACGCTCGACCAATGGGACAGGAACGAACGCACATCCTACTTCCATTCTTTTTGAAGCTCACACCAGGAGAAAGGTTGTTTTTGGTCCGCTGTTTCCAATAAGTCTTGAAGAAGGAAGATGTGGCACAATTCGTTTTGTTAAAAAGTCCTTATTTCATGCCGTTCGTGTTTTCTAATACCCTTAATATAGGGTAGGGCATGCAAGATGCAAATTGGTATGGAATATGGTGAATAAGCGATCTTAACATGGTTTTGCCCAGAAAGAAAAGCATGCATTGGCAAACAGAATTACAAAGAGGAGGGAAAGGAAGTGGAAGACTAAGAAAAGTAGGAAATCAAAGTCACTTCATTCTGCCAAAGGAAAGTCAGAACGGAACTGCAAATAGCGAGAGAAACCCTAGCAAACTATCTTTCCCTTGCTTGCTGGTGTCAGGTTTTCGGGAATTGAATCAATAGTCGACGGTTAGAGTCTTCATTTTTTTAAAATATTCAAATTTAATTTTGTTGATGTTTAATAATTTGGATTTTGGTTCATTATATAGCAAAAAAATAAATAAATAAATACTTGTTTTGAACCCGCTGTTAAAGCAGTTTGAGAAGGTGATTTAAGGTTAATATCTATTATAAAAATTAATTTCTATGAACGTTTTGAGATTGGATATCATATTTGTTGCATAGTTGTAAATATCATTTCTTTTTTATTTGCTATTTTTTTGTGGAGATGGAAAAACAAAGTTGGGTTAAACACAAACTAGACAGTTGAATTTTCTATATTTTCTCCTTAATTACTAGAGTTATAAATGGTTCTTTTAACTATGTTTATCAATTTTTTATTTAGGTTAAACGAGAAGAAAAATAGATATGTTAATAAGAAGGAGAGAATCAAAACAAAATCAAAATTTAAAAGGCGTGGTCTAATGTTCAAACATCCAAATTCGTCGCTAGTCGATATTGTCCGCTTTGTCCACTTTGGCACCTTATGTATCATCGTCTATGTAACACCCCGAGCCCAATAGGTACAATTCGCTCTATTCTTGTGACCAGCACCTTCTTATCCATTGGGAGTTTCTAAATTTTATTGGAGG